AGAAACGACCATCCACTGGACCATCCTTGTGGGTACCGCCATCTTGGTCCGCAATACCCTTACCCATTTCCTAGTTCCTAGCCAATCATCTGTATCTCTGCAACACACAGCCATTAACCTCTCCTCCTCTCCCTTCAACTTCACAATTGCCGCAGTCTAATGTCCTCCAAACCAGAACATTTCCCAACAACAATTCTCGACCTTTTTTCAATCCCTAGGCCCTCGCTTCCTATCTGGTGGCGACTACAACGCGAAGCTCCAATAGTGGGGCTGCAGAGTGACGAATCCACGAGGTCGTGTCCTCTTTAATGTCCTCTCTTCCTTTCACCTCAACTACATCTCCCCTCCTGATCCTACCTATTGGCCCTGACCCACTAATAAACGCCCAGACCTCCTTGATTTTTTCATCACCTCCCAACTCACCTCGCTCCACCACCACGCGTGCATTCTAAACGACTTATCCTCTGATCATAGTCCAGTCCTCCTAACTATAGACACCTACCCAATCCTTATTGCACCCAGAGCAACACTACTAAATGGACCAATAGACTGGAACCTATTCAATGCAGACAACAATACAAACCTTAACATAGTTTTAAAGACGAACGACGACATCGACTTTGCCATAGAACAGTTAACATCTACAATAACAGATGCCATCAATGCCTCGAAGCTGCACACCTACGAACACACCTCAACACAACACATAAACCTACCACTTTACATACGCCAACTGATCAATAAAAAAAAGCATGCCCGCCAAGAGTGGCAAAGGACCCGCTACCCTTCGGACAAACAAGTACTGAACAGACTTAACTCACCACCTAAACATAGAATTGAGAGCTTACCGTTCCGACAAATTCAGACAGTACACACAACAACTAACAACAGGAAATAAGTCGCGCCAATATCATAGACGCAGATTATGTTCGACAGATCGAAGAATTCCTAAACTCTCCTCTCTCTTTATCTCTTCCTCCTAAACCTTTCTCTCCGTCAGATGTCCAGTATGCTATACGCCAGCTCAAACCTAAAAAAGTTCCTGGGTTTGACTCGCTAATTCCCCAAATCCTCAAACACCTTCCAAAGAAATCCATAATATTCATCACCTATATATTTAATTCAGTCCTACGCACAACCTATTTTCCTAGTCCCTGGAAACATTCTGTCATCCGTATGATTCCTAAATCCAAAAAACACACACATTGTCCTACTTCCTACAGACCCATTAGCCTACTACCGATTTTAGGAAACGTATCCTCCCAATCCTTAATTCTAAAAAAGTTATCCCCGACCATCAATTTGGATTTCGAGACGGTCACTCAGCAGTTCAGCAGTGCCACCGCGTTGTAGATGTTATTTCTGCCTCTCTTGAGTTGGAACAGTATTGTTCGGGGGCCTTTCTTGATGTGGCCCAGGCCTTCGATCGAGTTTGGCACCCGGGCTTGCTGTTCTCGCTCAAGGACATCCTTCCCTCAACCTTATCCTTCGAAGCTACCTCACTGACCGGTACTTCCGAGTCATTGAAGGATCGGCGTCTTCCCCAAACCACCTTCTCCTTGCTGGTGTTCCGCAGGGCAGTGTTCTGGCACCCGTACTGTACCAAGTGTACACGGCAGACCTCCCATCCTCAAACTACCACTCTAACTTCTGCAGACGAAACAGCGATGCTCTCAAGCAATTCTGATCCAGTCATTTCCACTCGAAACCTTCAAGAACACCTCACACTACTGGAATCATGGTGTAAAAAAAAGGCACAAATTCAACCCAGAAAATCCACCCACATAACCTTCACCCTCCGCAAAAACATCCCTCCTCCAATCTACTTCAATCAAATACCCCTCCCCATTGCGGACAAGGTGCGCTACCTAGGACTATATATTGACAAACGTCTGACGTGGATTCCCCACACACGACTGAAACGACAAGAAGTTATGAAACGTTACAGAGCACTTTCACGACTTCTTGACAGACGTTCTAACCTACCTCTCTTAAACAAAAGACTACTTTATATCACTCTAATGAAGCCAATATGGACTTATGGACTGGAAGTGTGGGGTTCAGCCAAATATTCCAATATCCTACGTATCCAACGAGCCCAATCCATCATCCTCAGAAAAATCCTTAATGCTCCCTTTTATATGTCCAACGACACTACCCATAAAGACCTAAACATTCCTTTTATCCAAGATATAATCCACTCCCGTTACCAAAAATTTTTCACAATCCTCCCAACCACTATAAATCCTCAAATTCAAATCCTCTCATCCCGACGAATTCCTTCCAACCCTCTTCGCCGACTAAAAAGACGATGGCCACGGTATCTTCTATCGAGTGGCAATTGAATAAAGAATAGTTAGGAGTGGGTAGTTTCTCCACTCTTATTTTCTTAATTACTTATTCATACATTATTACTAGATACCAAAATGCAGGTAGTTGTAATATACAACAAAAAGAAAAGAAAGAAAAAAGAAAAAAAAGCGTTCTTTACCGTGGGTTTCACCTCGGACCAGTTGGCCTCTTTACGACCTTCCACACGGCGACCAATATTGGTCTATAGTGCAATATTCATCATTGCCTAGAGCTAATAATTAATCTTTAGTCTTTTTACCACAATTAAGAACCCCGTGGTTATTCCTCTCCCAGGAGTAGGATAACCGTCCGTCCCACCAACAGAGAACATGTTCCACTAGTTCTTCTTCATCCTGGCAATATCTGCCCAAGCCTGTTGCTGCTGCTGCGAGTCCAGTCAACAGTCCTAACACGTCCGAGGTGTAGTAATCCCTCCATTTATGTTTCACTTCTGTTCTGAATACAATCTTGAACCTAGAATTTATTCGTAACCTATTTTCTAATGGAGTTACGTTCTTGATAATTAGGTATGCCGCTAAAAGATTCAATAGGTGTTCTGATCAAACTTTCCTTGGCCAATTTATCAGCTTCCTCGTTGCCCTGGTGCCAAATCCAGTACCAATCTAAATCCCGAACGGCTCTGCACTTTACTACCGATATGGTAGTATAGTTTAGTGCCTCCTAGCTGTTCGAATGGATGGCTCTTCCTTTGTTGGTAATATCCAGCCTTTTCCTCTCCATGATTCAGTGTTCAATAGGCCCAGACTCCGCCTGAAAGACTAGGAGAGCAATTAAAGATGACTTATTCAGATTTTCACCACGACTGTGAGGTTGTGAAATAACGTGCATCCTTCCTATGCCCTCCATGTCGAACTCACGAATCAGGACCAAGTTCTTGACACGAAGGGTGCTGATCTAAGTATCCGTATTCAATTTTACCTGAAATTCGAATTAAACATTTTTTTCGTAATTCATGTATTACAATGATGATCGATTCCAAACCTATTGTCTGATGGATCTACGTTTCTGGCAATTTGGTATCCCGTAAGAAAGGTCTGGGCTGAATGGTGTCTCGATTGAACTTACCGACCTCCTCGTTGTGCCTCTTCCTTATATGCGCTAGTACCAAAACAAGCGTTTCATCTCGTAGTTACCCCTTTAGATCTGCCAGGCTATCTGGATCACACGTCATCTCAGAAACCTTGATGTAATCCCAAACGACTCTGGACTTTACTCCTGATGAGGTAGTTGTCTTTAGTGCAACCTGGCTGTTGTACTTGTTTCTTCTTTTGTTATTAATCTCCAGCATTTTGATCTCCCTGCCACATAGCTACAGACAGTGGTTTGTATGAATTCCACAGATACCAGCTCTTGACTTCTTGAAGCAATCGTTATACAGTCAATATTAACTAAAATCCCTTTTCCCCAGTCCCATCTATCGTGTATTTTCATTTGACACTTATTATCCAATCTGACTTTTGCTATCATATTGACAGGATTCCTCACATCCATTAATTTTTATGATCGTAGACTATAGAAGAATGTAAATTGTGGCTCTAGCCTTTCTCTGGAGAATATATATAGTAGTGGTAAATCGAGGAGGACTGCTAGGACAGTAGTGGAGGTTGTAATGAGACAACAATCTAATATATCGACGAAAAACGAACTACAGTGTAGACTGCGGGGAACAAACCGTCCAGCATCTAACTTTTTCAATCCGTGTATGTTTCGTATTAGGTCTCCAACACTTCAAAACAACCTTAAATCTCAAAATTAATCATTCACATATTTACACAAGTCACAAGATCTACAGTCGGCTCTCCTTCACCTGGATTGCCTCTATTGAGAATAACGTATGTAAATATATATACCCTAAAATTACATAAAATCCAGCGATGGCACTAGTAGGTTGACACACCCTGTATGTGAAAATATTTATATTCAATAATTTCAGTTTGTAGTACAAGTGGACTGAGTTTGAGCACTGAAACAAGTAGGCCGGCACATTGCATCAATTGTATGTATTAAGGTATATTTCAGTATCAAAAGTGTCGATCACTTTTTCACTTACAAACACTCTGGATCAAGGTATGGCCTGAAGATGAAAGCAAATTTAAATGTTGGAACTGAGTCGGTCTTCAAAGAAATTTATGATCGCCGGTAAAAACTTAAATATGTCAATCTGAAGACATATTTAAGGTTGTTTTGGCATGATGATGACCTTAAAATTGGTCGAAAGTACCAACTGAATTTGCTTTCTTCTTCTTGACCATACCTTGATCTAGTGTTCCTAAGTGAAAAAAAGTGTTCGTTAAATAGTTAGGCCTGGCAGATAAATTGACAAACGTTCTGCCAATGATAATGCAGATCTAGGGTACCAGAGTTGCTATGTTTTGATTCAGAGCACCCAATGTCATCTTACTATTTCGTCAATAATTGAAATTTAAAAGAGGTACGAGTCGAATGAAATCGATATTAACAATTGTGAAATTCCGTTGGGTGTTCTGATGTTGAAAATTGATCATCAAATTATACACATTTAGTTCAAATTGCGCCTGAATAGGAGAATCGGTATGATTTGACAAATTATTAATTTTCTACATTGAAAGTTAATCAGCTAACGAAGCTGTGAACGTTAATTTTTACAGGCGCGACGAATAACGATCGGATGAGGGAAACAGAGGTATACTTTTGTTACTCTGACAGTAGCATAGATGATACAAAAACTGTATCTTTCGATTTGAGTATGTTTTATTTTTTATAATTTCTTTCTTTTTAATGTCCTTTTGACTTATTTGGGTGCAAAATTACTTCTGCTGTTTTAATTGCTTTTTCAGACTCAAGTTTTGATGATGACGAGGATATCATTAGTATTTACGGTGAAGAGGATGTGCCATTATTTTGTGAAGAATCTGGTATGTTATTTAAATGGTTTAACAACTTCACCTTGTTCATTCACCGGTTGTTATCTTGGTGAACAGTTTTTTATGAATTATTTAATTTGTTGACTAAAGAATATTGTTATTATTATTCGCCTAAATTTAAAATGGAAAAATCAAACAGAAAATTTAGAAACAAGGGAAATTTTCAGCAACAAATATTGTGTCTGATCAATCATATTATAAACTGGAAAAAGAAAACCGTCACCGCGAAAGAAATTCCTCTGCAACAAGGATAAACCAAAAAATCCAATAATAGAGGCAATAAGAAACCAGATTAAGCTTTATTGTTGGTACTATCAGAGTTGCCCCTTTTAAAACCCCTTATCTCATTCATTTTATATATTTTCCAAAGTTATCAACAGACAACTAGTTAAATATTATAATTAACAAAGGGATTTTATTCTAATTATTTTATTAAAATATGTAATCTTCGTTAGGCGCGTTCAATCTGCACGTTTAATCCTCTGAAGTTGAAGCTACATCGCTAATCGGTTGAGTCGCTTGTAGATTATCTGAAGTAAAAGCATTATTGTTAATTAATTCAGTTCATGTTTGACCCTCTGAAGTTGAAGCGTTTAAGTGATTGGTAAGCTTTCAGAAGTTGAAGAGTTATTGGTAATTGATTAAGTGTATGTTAGATCCTCTGAAGTTGAATCAGTATTGTTCATTAATTCAGTCGCTGATAGATCATCTGAAGTTGAAACGTTATTCAGTTAATTCAGTTGATGGTAGATCCTCTGACGCTGAAGTGGTATTGTTCATTAATGCAGGGTTTGGTAGGTTCACTGGAGTTGAAGAGTTATTGATATTTATTTAAGTTGCTGAAAGTTTCTCTGAAGTTGAAAAGCCCTCTTCTTTCGCGTCTTTAATCCTGCTTGGTCTGCAGTACGCGCCTTACAAAATAACAATTCAAGGTTGTGCGAAGAAAATATTTTGCGGGTGACTTTCTAGAGTGCATGTTGATTTTAAAATCCTACTATTTGATTTATGTATTAATAAAAAAATAACTGATCAATTACGATCAATGTTTGTCTGGATGAAACTGGTAAGAAAACGTAAAAGATTTGCTTAAAGCTTTATATTTAGGGTGTAATTTTCCTAGATAAAGTTTTGAATGGATCAAATAATATGTTTAAAAGAAAACATAACAAACATAGGGAGACTCTCTCCACTTCAAATTTTAATTTTTTCCTGCATTCCATGAGAATAAAGTGAGATAATCGGAGATAATAAGATAACCTCAAATAAAAATATGTATGGGTGACGGTTTTTTTGTACGTCTCACCAAACAGCATGACAACGCTCAAATAGCTGAAAAATTGGTAAGCTATTTGTGAAGGATACTCATGGGGGAGGAAAAAAGTAATTTTGATATGACGGTTCTAAAATAATTATAAAGCACTGATTCTTCTCATATGTGAAGAGTTTTCGATTTGAATTTATGCCCACTAACCGTGACAATTGAGTATGATCCTTTGAAACCAAGTAAGAAATCTGGTGCCCCCCCCCATAGAAGTATCGTTGCCCGATCCTTTTTTTACAATGAACACTGTCCATCTGCCTAATATTTTAGCAGAAACTAGTTACATATTATAAATAATTTAAGTATATTATATTGGTATGGTTTTTTGCCTTTGTTGTGCATGTAATTCTTGTATATCATTCAATTAGTTTGGTTTCGTAGGATAAGGAAATGTGCAATAAGGTCATAAATTGTGTCAGTAACCGTCGACGTAGCGAAATAGGCTGAACTATTTTTTTATAACATGAATCATAATGGATACTTATTTTTCGAAACCCAATTTTCTATTATGTGGGACACATCGAGCAAACTTTCTCTGCATAAGGGGCTCGTGTGTCAACCGCCAGAAATTATGTATTTCTATCACTACGGCACCTTTGACTACCTGCGAAATATAATTTTGACGTAGTAACCGAGCGAAAAGATGGTTAAAATATTTTTTGTTAACAAGAAACAAGGTTGATATTCGTTGATTGCTAATAACGGTTACTTAAAGACCTGTGGTATCTGAGTTAGGGTGTCGGACTCGAATTTGCCGCACTAGAGGATCTTGGTTCGAATCCCAGTACTGGCCTTGGAATTTTATTTGATAATAATATGTAAGAAGATTATGGAAATCGTTTTACTCCTTGTCCGCGCCAACTAATGAGTAGTTGAACGTAAAGCCCTCCTGAATTATTGTACTTTATGGTCTGTTTCTTTTCCCATTGAATCGTACCTTGAAAATCGAGTCAAATTATCAAAAAAGGGTAGAGGAATATGCTTAAAAGCCAGGGGTTGATATTCCGGTCGAAACTTTACACGAAAGTCCGGTTTAGGGAATTGGATTTTACGGGTCACTAATTGGTGGTCGAAAATCTGGCAGGGGTTAAGCTTACAATTCATATAACCAGAAACTGTTGTGTAATGTTGGAGACAAGCGATCATTTTTTTTCTACTCTATCACTTCCAAACCTGGTATTCTAATGTTATTGGTTATTTACGGATGGAAAAAGTCGGTCATTTGTCAATTATAAATTACGGTTCAGTTGCGTTCTGACCTTCGGACGGTTAAAACCTCGAAGAAGCTCTCGTTCCCAACCGTTCCTTATCTTTTCATAAGGCAATTTTTACAATATAATAAAAAAATTTTTTTTCTTTCTTTTCGTAAATTATAAATCACTCCCGTGTTTATTTAAATCTTTCTTTTCTGTCTGTCTGTCTGTCTGTCTATCNACACACACACACACACACACACACACACACACACACACACACACACACACACACACAGAGTAGATTCCTTTTATTTATATATTTTTATTTTTTATTTCGTTCCATTATTCTGGAATAAAACAAAAATATTCCCGAATAATGTCCGAATGTAGTGACGGCAACTCCGTAATAGTTTTACGCGATTTTAAGAAGTTTTTGATGAACGGCCAAATCTATCAAGAAACTCCAATAACAAAAGACCTCTTGAAGATTCAAATCAAGCTAAGTATTCAGCCAAATCGAATTTCGTGGACAAGGATAGTCATGACAAAGAAATCAAAAACAGAAAGGAACGATACAAATTATCATTAGAAGGGTTAGAGGGGAACATTGGTCGGGCTCGTCCTGTTTTGTTTGGTCCCTGGCTTTTCGAAGACCCTCGTTTCAACAATAATTCAATAATAAGCATTTCAATCTTGGGCAGAAATCGAATTAAAATCACCACAAACAATAAAGAAACGGCAAACTATCTGACGGAGTGTCAAATACTAAAAGAACAAAAACTTTTTACATACATACCGGATTTTTTAATCAAGAAAAAGAGCGTTGTACGGTTCATAGATCTAAGCCTTTCTGAAGAAGAAATTCTAAATAACCTAAAATCGGTCATACAACCATTATCTGTTGAGCGTCTTAAAAAATATGAAAGAATAGACGGTAAAATTAAAGTAACTCCTTTAGATACATGCGTCATAACTTTTTCAGGCCAAAAAATTCCTGATGCAGTCACCATCTATGGTGCATATTGCAATGTTAAACCCTTCATCCCTACACTTAGGCAATGTTCAAACTGTTTAAGGTTCAACCATGTTGCAGACCAATGTCGGGGACAGCAAAGATGTCCTAAGTGCGGTGAAGAGCACCCATTGCAAGATTGCAACCAAGATCAGCCTCTCTGTATCTTTTGTGGTAAAAACCATCTCGCTAACAATAAGAATTGTGATCACTTCAAAAAATTAGCTGAGGAAAATCGAAAAAAACACATTGAGTATTCATATGCCACAGTAGTATCTGTAAATAAATTCGACATTTTAAACAAATTAGATAGTGACACAGACTACGAGAACAATTTTCCTCCCATTTCCACCGATACATCATCAAACCGACCACGTCGACAATTCCGTAAAACGTACTTCCGAACGCCCACTTCAAAAACATCCTTGGATAAATTGTCGGATCCTCCTTTAAAAACAAGTAAGCCTTTGCGCTCTACTTTTATCAATCCTCACAAAACGTCGGAATATGAAAAATATATTCACATTTTATCCAGTTTAACGAATAATATTAGAGAAAGCGATTTATCTGAAACCGAAATAGTAGACCACATTGGTCAAACCTTGTAAAATCTAGTCAAAGATAAAGAATTGATAGTTAAGTCACTAAATAAGAAGTACGAAATTGCTCATGGTCAGGAGGACATGGATGTATAATTCGAATGGTGTTAACATTCACAAATCCTTTTTATTTTCTTTATAATTTTTAACTCTACTTAAATAAAATATTCCTATGGCAAGTAACTGGAAGAGTAGTGTAAATTCGCTCTATAATCTCAGATGTTTACAATGGAATGCTCGATCGATAATCTCCAAAAAAGGTAGTTTCGAACAGCTATTGTTCTCAAGCAACATTGATATTGCGTTTTTATCGGAAACTTGGTTGAACCCCAAACTAAGATGCAATTTTTCAAATTACAATTTTCTTCGTCTTCTTCCGACTCGTACGGAGGGGTTGGTATACTTTTGAAAAAGTATATTCCATTTGTTCAAATACAGATAAAACACGTGGTTACAGATCTTGCTATGGTCGGAGCCAAAATCAATTTCCGTGATTCCTCATCATTATCGCTTATTTCTTTGTATAATTCGAGTACCAACAACCTGTCCTCTAAAGACAGGGATAAATTATTTAAATTATTTTCTGGGTAGTTCGTTATCTCTGGAGACTTCAATGTTCATCATGCTGCATTCGGCTCAAGTTGGTCCGAATCTAAAGGACGTGAGGCTTTAGACCAGAATGATATTGTCTATTTGAATGACGGATCTCCCACCATGGCCGTGAATCCCTCTCGTCAAAATTCATCGGCGGTTGATTTGACCCTCGTTTCCTCCAACCTAGCTTTTTCGTCAAGTTGGGAAGTAGTTCAGGATCCCATGGGATCTGATCATTTACCCATATAATTTACTCTGTCAGGTCCACA